CACCCGGTGCTGTCCGCGATGTAGGGACATCGCATGCCACAGCCCTCTTGGGCCGGCACCATGCAGTGACATCCCTGATGTCACTACATCACCCCGCCTTCATAGCATTCAGCCATCCCGGCTATCAACTCCCCCCTCCAAACGAACAATGAAGTGAAATGCAAGGAAAAACACAGTGTGCCTCAACAATACAAGAACAAAAATAAATACCCAAACCCACCTGTACAAAAATTACACTATACACAAATGTACAAACCAAAAGGGAGAAGGGTGTAAACCAACGAACCCATAATAACAACACCGCATCAACAAGCAAAATATAAAAAAACGCGTAAACTCTCAGGATCCTCCCTATCATCACACCTCCCACCTTCACCATGTAACAATGCTCGTGAGCTCAATGGCGGCCAGGATCAGCCAATAACCACCACGACAGAGCGAGAGCGACAAGCAACTGACAGCGTGGGAGCATGTGTGCAAGAGGATCACGAAAAACGAGTTTTAAGCGAGTGCATGATGCCGGGCCCCCAGGGGAGGTGGGCTCGCTCACCCTGGAGATCCCGGGAGAAATGTGTAAATGTTCCACCGAACCCAGCTGCTCATGAAGAACAGTAGGCCTGGGTCGATGGAGCCTGCACTCCCGAAGCCTGCAAAGCCGGCATGCGTGGCCGCACAAGAGACATCAGTCGCGCAGCCCCTGAGAGTGGAACAGAATTGCTTCACTCGGGATCAACCGCTGCTTGAAGGCCACCCAGTTGCCACTGGTAGCCGCGAACTCTCGAGCAAAGGGACGCCGACGCTGGAGAGCCGGGATGTCTCTCAGCACTGACGGCATGTCTTTAATTTTGACGGGCTGAGTACTCTGCGCCGGTGGCAAAATGGCTGAGCGCTCTGCGCCATCGAGTTTCCCGCCAGCTGCGAAATGGCAGCGGAGTCGTCGTCCATGAGCTGCATCACCGCTCACTCCTTCACTGGCGAGACTCTGGGACGAAATTTCGCGAGGAGCGAAGTCACAGTGTGGAGGAGCTCCTTCAGATGATCGTGCGCCTCCTGGAGGGTCGTTTCTGCCGACAGCGAAGCGTCGAGCGCCCAGATGGCGCCTTGCTCCGCTGGCAGCGTCTACCCCGCATGCTCCAAAGCTGTAGACGGCACGAGGTCCTCATGCTCGCCGTCCAACGTCCTAGTACGTGGTCTGTGATGCGTAGACATAGTCTACAGCTAGCTGTATAAACTAGCATGTTGGCCACTTCCGACACCAGTTGTAGTGAGTCCAACTGAGTCGCAGACGTTGTTCTTTAGAGGCAACACATTTATTATAACATCGACGCGTAAACACAAAGGGGTAACTGCCCCTTTACCAGATACAGCCTAGGGTGGTGACCACCCAGCTAACTACCCTATATGGAGGAGTTACTGCTACGAAGGGCCTGACCCTCACTTGGGTCCTGGCTATGTGCTGATGCCTGCAGAGCTTCCAGCTTATAAGACGTAAGGCTTCGAACTTGTAGAATGCAGCGACCCCGGTCCCTCTCAGGGACCCACCTTATATCCTCCCGGATCGGGGCCGCCCCGCCCTTGGCTCTGCCCGCCTTCTCGAGCCTTCCAGCTCCCTCTTGATCCCTCTCGAGAGCTCTCCCGCCCCCACCTGGGGCCCTCTCTGTGGACACTCCGGATCACGTGCTTACAGGGCCAACCAGAGTGCCATGGCCCAGGGCAACCCTGACCCTGGGCTGACACTCTCCCACTCCCCCTGGTGGGAGCCCACACTACGCGCCATGCGTGGTGCCCGCGCTATCCCAGCGCTCACCAAGCCCCGCTAGGGCTGGTGCTACACCCGCCTATGGGGTGTACGCAATGACAGTGCATCGCACGCCGTGCTATGCTAGAGCCGGCCTCACACAGCAACCCACCCGGTGCTGTCCGCGATGTAGGGACATCGCTCGCCACAGCCCTCTCGGGCCGGCACCATACAGTGACATCCCCGATGTCACTACACATATGTACACGTGGGTGTACACACATGCACACTCACTTCCAGTGTGAGGCTGACTCATCACATCTCGAGGAGGATCGCTGCACTGAAGAAAATGGTTACATGGTTCAGTTTTCAAACGTGAGTTCACGTTTTAAGTCAATGTATGTTTTTAAAATATATATTTCATGGAAGCTGGCTTGTAAATGCAAGTGTTTGTTAGTCGAAGACTGCCTGTACAGTAACACTCCCATATGCATCATGGGTTTTCTCCTGCCACTCTGGTTTTATCACACAATCAATACACATTATCTAAAACAATATATTACCGAGTCATCTAGCTGTAAGACTCTTTTTGGAAAGGAATTCAAACTCCATGAAGCTTTCCTAGACAAATAAATTGCATTAAAATATACATGCTTTATATAATAATTGAGTAAGACTTTTTTTTAAATAGGATGTTTAACATCAACTTTATGCAGAATTTTTTTGGGGAAATACCACCTGGCAAGAAGAGTCAACTGTTATGAATGCTCAAACTACCTAGAATGTGTTTAAGTGACCAGATTAAATGATAATAGGTTTCCCCCCTTTTTTCTGGCAACAAAACAGGTGTTAAGATGATTCCTTGTAAAAGGTTTCAGTTTGGTGTTTTAACATCTTAATACCTGTTTTGTTGCCACAAAAAAGGGGAAAAACCTATTATCATATTTTGGTACTGGCAAAGGAGGTCCCATGATGTAGATGCCACCCCGAGCTCTCATTACTCTGATAGTGCATTATCTTTGGGCTGTACGCCTTTTGGCATCCTCTGGTCTAACACCGTTTGAGACGAGGCTCAAAAGAAAGATGACTCTGGTGTGGACCAATCAGTTTCAAGGACATTCATATAATGTTTGCATTCTGACCACAAGCATTGTGGTTAATGCAGACATGATTCCTTGTAAAAGGTTTCAGTTTGGTGTTTTAACATCTCAACACCTGTTTTGTTGCCGGAAAAAGGGGAAAAACCTATTATTTTGGTACTGGCAAAGTAGGTCCAATGACAAGATTAAAGTACAATTTTTGAGAGGTGAATTTCTTAGTATGCCTGATGAAGGATATTGTACATCTGCAAGTGTTTAGCAATACATTTGAAGCAATCTATAACTTTTGGTTGACTCTACTGACTAGTAAAACCAGCAGACTACATTGCTAAACATTATATATATAGGTACACAAAGAGAAAGATCACTTTGATCACACAGAACCCGAGAGTAAGTGTTGTTTGTGCCCACCGAATTATGGACAACACGGTATACAAGTTTGATTAAGTCATCACTATGCTCTTCTCCCTTTGTCTCCCATTTTTTTGTTGACACGATCGACCGGATAGGTCTGCCTTATTTGGGCTAAGTCAACCTAGGGGAGGCACAGTTTAGGTGTCTACATCAACGGCTGCCAACGACGTGAATCTTAGCCAGGAATAAAACCCAATATGTTAGCTTAGTCAAAAAAACATTATGGCATGACTTTTCGCAACATATACATGACGTGCATATAAGCATGCAAACACTCTTGTATATATAGATACACATTCATGAAAATACAGTGGTACCCCGGAGATCGAACTTAATTTGTTCCAGAAGGCCATTCTAACACCGATTTGTTCGAACACCGAATACATTTTCCCCATAATAATTAATGTAAATGACATGAATTGGTTCCAGACACAAAAAATATCTAATTATAAAGCATTTTTACACGAAGTTTACAGTAATCACATGCATAAAATCAATACAAAAAAAACAAGAAACACAATAAATAAATGGAATAAATGAATAAATATATGGAATAAATGAAAAAAATGAACATAGAACTTCACTTCACTTTACCTGTAATAAGGAGAGTTGATGGCTTGAGTGGAAGGTGGTGCGGAGGAGGAGGTGGTGGTGTTATTGTTTGGAATGGGAGTCCCCTTCCATAATAACGTCGGGTAACTGCCCTTCTGGGGTTCTTTCTCTTTTGTGCCTCTTTTCTGCCACTAACTGTGAGTCACTTGAGCTCTTTCTGACTAAAAACATTGCTCACTCGGTTGGCTACTGCCTTATCTGGGTGATATTTTAACTGAGCCTCTCATACGGCAAAACCTTTGTCTGGGCAAGCGTCATGCACGCTGGCCATATGCGTCTCAGCCGGACAGGTTCTTTCAAGTCGCGATTGCCCGTTCGACCTCCGAATTTCGTTCGGTTTCCAGGGCAATTTTTTTTCGGAATTATTGTTCGAACACCGATTTGTTCGAGTTCTGGTGCGTTTTTTCTCCGAGGTTCTACTGTGCCAGTCAGCTCATATGATGAATTCATACTGTTCACTTAGTGGCATAAATACCAGATATTAGCACCAACCATAGTAAGCTCACCACCTATTATACACATCTTTAAATCTGCATTATAACTAAGGAGTGGGTATCGGGTATGGACATTAATCCTTTAGATCATTGCTTAAAAAATGCAGTTAAAAGTTATTCCCAGCAAATGAAAATAGAGTCTGAAATTTCTTTTTACGAGGCAAGAACTTGAGGATTTATTTTTACAAGGTCGACCTGATCAAGCTGGTGATACGAGTGAATTTGAGAGGTAACACAAGAAGACAAGGTATTACAAGTTATCGTAAACATAGATGTAAGGTACAGAATGTAATGAAAGACATACATTATAAATTAACAATATCACAAGAAGAAAACAAACTAGTCAAAGCATACTAAGTAAAACAGACAATGGATTGTAATGGATAGGCATTTACAGCAGCAAGCATTGATGGATAAATTCAGTGGCGTTGTGCTGCCACATAATACCAAGCATTGACTCGATCTGTTACCAATCATAAACGTGTATTCAGCTTTATTGCAAAACCACTGGAAAGTACTCCACGCCGTTGTCCCGGTGCGCAAACCGAGCCGGCTCCCTCCCTAGCGGCTGTGGAACTGCCGCAGCAGGACACAGCAACACTCCGCTTGGACACTGTTTGCGAGCGAGCGAGCGTTTCTTACCATTTGGTCGCTCATGTCGCTGCCGTTGCTGTCAGAGAGCTGGGGATCTGCAGAAGGGCCCCCCAACGCAGAGCCCCCATCCCAAGCAGGGTCCACCAAGCTGTAGTTCCCCGGTTCTGCATGCACCCCGAAAAGCATCGATCCCTCCTCCATGAGGTCCGCGTGACGGCAGCTGCTACATATCGGTCAAATTAACATCACAATATATTGTTTACCATCACGCGAACTCCGCTCATCCTCACTACATCAGCTTTTGGCTAGCCAGCGAATAAACCCGGTCACCGCATCGCGCACTTTCGGACGTGTATTTGCAATAGTTTGGAACGCCCTTCCTTCTGATATTAGGAAGCCACTGGAGCTATGCACTTTTAAATCTACATTGAAAACTCGTTTCTTTAGAACTACTTTTTGTGTGTAGTTTGTTGTCCTTCCCCCGCACCTCCGATTAACACAGTTGGCTAAGTATGGTGCGAAAGAAGTTCAACATGCATCACAAATACAATGTTATTCATTAAAATAATTGTCATCATCACCATTAATGGCATATCTATTATTGATTAAATGATGAGCAAACCCATCGCTATCATACACGAAGTAATACTCAAAACTTCAATCAAAACCTATTTGGTTTAAGGATGACACAAAAATCATCATTGACCACTTCGGTATTCGACTACTGTACTACAACGCGATGACAATTTACGTGTTTTTTACAAGGCAAAACACATTTAACGCATATTATGTCATTCGTCGCAATTATTTAATCGTAAAACAACCCGAATCGTCTGCTGAAGGCAATCAAATCTCGAGATGCACATTCGTGACTACTGACATCAAACAAGACCAACAACAACACACCGCCGAGTGTTTAAGCTCTGCACGATACATGAAACGCGAATTAACACAATGAAGCCTCAACAACACTGGTTGCGCTGTTCCACTCTACACAAAACATACCCCACGCATAACAACCACAGTGCAATACATCCCGAAAGCGTGCCCATGTAGGGAGAGGGAACATGTGCTCCCTGGTGCGACGACGCTCATCGCAACGGATCCATTCACAAAAAAACCCAACGCCAACTGAATCCACCACTGGCGCACCTCGGAGCAATAGAGGACAGCCTCTCGGCGATTGTGCGCGTGTGCTTCAAATCTGTAACTTATATAGGTCTTGCATATATAAATAAATATATACACACTTACGCACACGTACGCACGCTACGCCAGTATATGTACATGAGCAATAGACGCATGCGCGCACAGCGACGGCACGCAGTGTAATTAAGCGCCCGGGAGCAATTTCAGGAGCAAGATCAATGATCGAAAGTGGGTTAGAGAACGCCAAAGAGTGGAGAGAGAGTGCAGCAGTAGGAGGGGAGGGCGAGCGCTCGCAGTGACGGTTGTTCATGCGCTTCTGGCGGGCGTTCCGTACCGCACGCGTTCTCCATCAGTGTTACGTGCACCTCCGCGTCGCTCTGTCAGTGTGCCTGAACCTATCTCACCGTGTCACTCTGTTTGTCTCTATGAATCTCTGTGTGCGTCTCTCTGCATCTCTGTGACTGCGTCTCTGTCTCTCCCCGTCTTTGTCTATGTGATTTTGCTCTCCATTTCTCAATGTCTTTGTCTCTCCCCGTTTCTGTCTCTGTTGCTTTTTCTCCCTGTCTCTTTAGGCACAGGCTACCAATTAGTGCTCAATGCATACGGGCATGAAACAGATCAGGTCAAATAAATATTTACTATCGTGATGCATAAAAGAATATACACCAACACATGAAAACTGTTCTTAAGTGATCAATGACTGGATTTCGTGAGCGTTATTCATGTTATCGTGTTGTTTTTATGTGGTTGTGTGTGCGCGTTGGTGTAAAGTAGTAACTCGGCGGGAGACGACTTCACGGGTAGCACACTCTTTTATTTCACCAACTTATAGTTACACGGGTGACTAACACCCACTTAGTTACACGGGTGACTAACACCCACTCAGCTACTCGGGTGACTAACACCCACTCAGCTACACGGGTGACTAACACCCACTTAGCTACTCGGGTGACTAACACCCACTCAGCTACACTGACACGGGCTCTTACGCCCCGTAGCCTTCCGGAACACACCCCGCCGGGGTGTCCGTCTCGGCTCTGGGTACCCCCGTCCCGACCCACACGGGCGTCGGACTACGGGTCCCCCAGTCTCGGCTCCGAGCCACACAGGGCCCCGGTCCTGACAAGGACGGCGGGACTAGGGGTCTCGGGCCACTACCTCCTCCACTCCGTCTTCAGTCTTCAACTGGTTAACAACAACCTCGAGTGCTCTCGCGCGTCCCCCTTTATGCACCTCCTGCGGACGTCGCTGAGAGCACCCATCCTATTTGACCAATCACTGCGTGCTGGCTACGATCCTCTTTTCCCACCTTGTGTCAGCGCGCCTCACCACCGGCGCGCGCGTCCATACCACGCCCACATCGCGTGCCCAACCCCGCGCCCCGTGATCCATCACTGTCGGCGCACGTCAACACCACCACTACATTGGCATGCCACCAGCAAGTCCAATTATATCTGCTTTAGCCCCCCCGCCCCTCATCGTTATCAAACTAAATTCTGACCCTGCCCTGAAAAGGACATCGGCCTTCACGGCTCTGGGGTCGCACCACTAGCTTACTCTGCCCGGCCCTTAGAAGGGCAGCGGGTCAGAGGAGTCCCAGGGTCTATCTAGCTGGACTTCAGTCTTCAGCTGGTTCTTCGTCTTGACTTGGTCGAACTGTCTCTCTGCTCTCAGGGTCCCGCCTTTTATACGATTCCCCACTAAGGGGTGGGTTTCTGTGGGATCACACACACTCCACAGCCCCCTCCCCTCAGGAGGCCCTGATCCTTGATAACACAACCGCCCTGAACAGGTTTGTACCGCTTCCCACTGAGGGGCAGGGTTCTGTGGGATCACACACACTCCACAGCCCCCTCCCCTCAGGAGGCCCTGGTCAGGGATGACACAATCACCCCACACCGGTAAGTATGGTAAGTGTTCCAACATCACCACCACATCACCCCCTCCCCCTCCCTGTACAGCCCGCAGCCGTCCCGGCTGCAATGACAACTTTTACAATAAACAAACCTTAACAAGAACTGGAATTCCGTGTGCGTCTATAACAATAACAACAATAATAACAACCGCAAAAAATTACCCCAACCCACCTGTACAAATAAACACTATGAACAATTATACACACCAAACCTCCCCCACCCAAAACCGGCGACGCAACTCGCCCGACTCGACGCACACTCCGTGACGAGAAGAGGAACATATGGACAGTCAAGCGGTCGCCGCAACGTGCAAGTGGGTGTGGCAGATCCAGCCTATACATCACGAAAAACGGTGTGACTTAGCACGAGTCCGAGTGGCTGGCCCGTCGTACGGGGCAGGGCATGGTCGTCCGGCGGCTAAGGCAGGCAGCCCCTGAGGGCAAGAAGTGGGCTGCCCGGTTCCACACTCGCCATCGGGTTCTGGTGGCTGACGCTCTTTGGAAGCCGTCAATTCCAGGGCGTCTGAAAGTGGAACAGTCAGTGGCAGGTCAGGATCAGGCATCGGCATCACATTCCCCGTGTCGACGGACACATCACATGCTTGGCCCTTGGGACACGTAGGGGAGGTATGAGGTGCAACGAACGGTTTTAGCCTTGAGGGGTGAACATACCAACAACGTTTTCCCCACCTAATCCGGACACATTGTGGCCGTGTAACCTGTACAGTCTCGACAGGCCCTCTCCACGGCCTCAGCAGTTTTGGCGATGTTGCCAAGGGTACCTGTGGACAGTGTAGCCAGGCCTTATTGCCTGTCTTCCACTCGTGCGTATGTGTCCGGTGCGCGCGCAAATGCTCATTCACCTTTTGGCAAGAGTTCGAGTTCTGTGCTGCAGCCTCCCGTGCGTCGGCCAATTTCAAAACGTAAAATTTAACGTGGTCAGCCAATTCAGACTTTGCGCGGGGTGTGGCAACCCCCAACTGGGCATCCACGGGTGGATCAACGTCCCGCCCGTACATAAGATAGAAGGGGGAGAACCCAGTTGCCACGTGGGGAGCCATCTTATAGGCGGCAAGAACTCCCGGAATTTGAAGGTCCCAATCCACTTGTGATTCGCACACCTGATGGCATAACATGGACGTGAGCGTTCTGTGGAGCTGCTCCACCATCCCATCCGTTTGTGGGTGGTACGGGGAGGTACACACCTTTTTAGTGCCCAAAAGGTCGCACACCTCACGCAGCAAGGAGCTTGAAAAATTCCTTCCCTGATCGGTCAGCAGTCGCTCCGGTGGCCAGGCCATGGACCATCGAGTGAAATATTCCACGCCAACCAGCAGGTACTTATTACCCCTAGGTGGCACCGGGAACAGCCCCAAAATGTCGAGCGCAACGAGCTCGTTGATGCGTGAGACCTGAATAGATTGCAGCGGTGGAATGGATGCCTTAGAAGGCGGTTTCCACTGGGTACACTGTACACACCCCGTAAGAACGTTTGACACATCCCTTGCCATGCCTGGCCAGAAAAAATCAAGCTGGAGCATGGCAAGGGTCTTGTGAGACCCCAAATGCAAAAGTTGCTCGTGCGCGGCCAGAATGACCCTACCGCACAAGGCGGACGGCACAACGATTCTATAGCGAAGGGACCTACCGTCCCAATTTATTATCCAAGAATCGACCCCGACCACGCCTTCTGCGGATCCACTAGCCTTACGATACAATGCGAGTAGGGACGCGTCCCCCATTTGGAACCGGCTCCAATTGGCAAGGGTCAAATTGAGTAATGAATCCCTGCCCTCCGGTGAGAGAGGGATTTCGGGACCTGGCGCATCAGCAGCGGCAGCCAGAACCGTGGAAGGGACGACACTTTGTGGTTTGCAGCGTCCCGACCCAAGAAAGCATACACATTCCGTGCCGAGCGTCAATCGCGACAGGGCATCCGTGTTTGTATGGCGAATGCTCTTGCAGTAGGTGGTCGTGAATTGGTAGTCCTGGAGGACTTCCAACCATTGAGACAGCTGTCCCAATGGCTGGTCAACACGAAGTGCATATTGTAACGCCGCATGGTCCATATGGATGGTGAAGTGCCACCCATAAAGATACGGCCGATACTGTTGAACCAAAAAAACGATAGCCAGCAGCTCGCAGCGGGTGATGCAGTACCGCTGTTCTGCCGGTCATAAAACCCTAGTACCGTACGCGACGAATCGCCGATCGTAAGAGGCAAACCCAATGAAGCTACAGACCTCACTGACCAAAGTGGGCATAGGCCATGAGCTGACACACTGTGTCTTCGCGGGATCCGTAGAGATACCTGAACGACTCACAATGTGCCCCAAGTACTGCACAGATTCCCGGAGGAGGTGGCACTTTGCGGCTTAAATTTTAAATTAGCGGACAGGCATCTTCAGCAGTACAGCCCGCAGACGTTCAAGGTGTAATAAATCTGCTCCAGATGAGATCGTGTCTTTTGTCTTTTCTTTATTCGTTCCTCATTCACAGCTCCCTCACAGGCTGGATTTCTCTTTCCCCCGTTACTCCATTCCCCGAGCGTGGCGTCCGCTCGCTGCCTCACTCCTTCACACCGCTGGTTGACGGTGTGTGTCGGAGACAGCCTCCGGCCCGCCATGTGGTCGCTGACGTGCCAGTGACACAGACGTGGTTCCTCCTCAGCCCCTCTCCACACTGACCCGGAGCTGTCTCTCTCCACCCCTTATAACACCTGGCCCACGTGATACCACGCAGCCAATCATCAGCCTCGCCCCCTGGAACCTTCCAGATGTTGCTATATAGCCACAGGCTACGCCCCTGGCTACGCCCCTGGCTCGATATCCCATTGGCTGCGGGCTGAGGCCGGCAGAGCCTAACACTATGGCCCAGTTACCCCCCCAGGTGCATCTTCATATTACAAAGGTGTGCCTCGAACGTCCTGCTGAAGACAATAACGTCGTCCAGGTAAATCAAACAGGTGTCCCATTGGGGACCGGCTAAATGTCGCAGGAGCTGAGTGAAGTCCCATAGGCAACCGGTTGAACTGAAACAGGCCAATGTCGTCCGAAAAGCGATCTTGGGTTTTAACTCCTCGTCAAGGGGGAGTTGCCAAAA